ATATATATATATATATATATATATATATATATATATATATATATATATATATATATATATACACACTGTATAGAAAAATATACTTTTTAGAAGGGAAAATAGAATGTTTTTAAATGAAATGAGTCATTTTTTTTACACGTAACATATTTATTAATTAACAAATTATACCATGAATTGATTTTTGGCTATCAAAATAATAAGCATATTGAATCTATTTAATAAATTAAATGTAATAATAATACTATTATTAATATTAACTATTATTAATATTACTATTATCAATAACTAATTCATAAAGGGTGACATGGTGGCTCAGTGGTTAGCACTGTGGCCTCACAGCAAGAAGGTCTCTGGTTTGAGTCTCGGCTGGGTCAGTTGGTGTTTCTGTGTGGAGTTTGCATGTTCTCCCCGTGTTGGTGTGGGTTTCCTCCGGGTGCTCCGGTTTCCCCCACAGTCTAAACACATGCGCTATAGGGGAACTGATCAACTAAACTGGCCGTTGTGTGTGTGTGTGTGTGTGTGTGTGTGTGTGTGTGTGTGTGTGTGTGTGTGTGTGTGTGTGTGTGTGTGTGTGTGTGTGTGTGTGTGTGTAAGTGTGTGTGTGAAAATGAGAATGAGAGTGTATGGGTGTTTCCCAGTGCTGGGTTGCAGCTGGAAGGGCATTTGCTGTGTAAAACATGTGCTGGAATAGTTGGTGGTTCATTCCGCTGTGGCGACTTCTGATTAATAAAGGGACTAAGCCAAAGGAAAATGAATAAATGAATGATTACCTATAATCAGGTATAGCAATAATGAGTGTGTATGGGTGTTTCCCAGTGCTGGGTTTATTTATACTAAAATAAATAATTAATAAAAATATTAATTAAATGTCAATAATGTGTTTAGGAGGCCGTCATGAAGCCTCTTGACCATAAAAACCTGGACCTGGATGTGCCGTATTTTGCAGATGTTGTCAGGTATGAATCTGCCCTGTGTGTGTGTTTGTGTGTTTGTGTGTGTGTGAGTGATTGATCAGAGACTCTGATGTTTGTTTGTGTCCCGCAGCACCACAGAGAACCTGTCAGTGTTCATCTGGGACGGCCTGCAGAAGCTGCTGCCTCACGACAGCCTGTACGAGATCAAAGTCTACGAGACGGCCAAAAACATCGTGATCTACAGAGGAGAATAGACTCAATTTTGTGTGTGTGTGTGTGTGTGTGTTTGCAGAAAGTGTATTAAAGTGAGAGCGGCACCTGCTGCGCCGACACCTGCACAACAACAGCAGATTAATGCAGGACAAGAAGCTCACACTGATCCTATTACACACACCTCTATACACACACACACACACACACACACACTGATGAACAGACACACACAGTCATGCATACAACAATTACACTGATGAACACATCACACACACACACACACATACACATATAAATATATGCACACAATACACACTAATAAACATCAAACACACATACACACTGATACACACTGATACACACACACACACTCTCTCTCAGACTGATGAACAAACTGTCACAAAAACAAATTACAAACATTGATGAACACATCACACACGCGCACACACTGATGAACACACATCACACACATGCATATAAACACACAAACTGATAAACACACTGTCTCACATACAGGATACACACACACTGATGAACACACATCACACACATGCATACAAATACACCCACAGTCACACTGATGAACACCACACACACACACACACACACACACACACACACACTGATGGACACATCAAACTCCTGCATACAAACACACACACACACACAAACACACACGCACACTGATGAGCACATCACACACATGCGTACAAAACACACACTCACACTGACTCATGCACACACTGTCACACAAACAAAGACAACTCACACACATCACACACTGATATACACACACTGATGAACACACATACACACACTTATTGATTAATTTGTAATAACACTGCTGTCTGTCAGAAGATGATCCTCATCAGTGTGTGTGTGTGTGTGTGTGTGAAGTGTAGTAGTTGCTGTGTTCCTCCAACAGATGGCGCTGCTCATTGAAGTGTGTTTTAGGATGAGCGCTGGTTATGGTGCTGTGTGTGTCTTCATGTTGTGTGTGTTGGAGATTAAACACATCAGCGGTGATGATTTATTTATTTATCAGTGTCTGAGCCTCTGATTCAGTCAAACTCGTCATATAACAGATGAACACATGATTTATCAACATTAAAGTCATTTAAAATCTAGTCAATTTACCTCTCTCACACACACACACACACACACACACACACACACACACTCCAGATTACAGGTCATGGATGGCAGAGCAGAAAATTATGATTCTATGATATTTGTCCTGTCATGCATTTATTTTGTGTGTGTGTGTATGTGTGTGTGTGTGTGTGTGTGTGTGTGTGTGTGTGTGTGTGTAAATACAAAGTATTGTTGATAACAGCAAGGATATTTTAAATAAATACTTTCA